CTGCTTCTTCTCACTACTCCTTTCAGGAGACATTCTGCCAGGTCCGAACATGAAAGGAAAAATAGACCTTTTTTTTTTAAAGATTTATTTTTATTTATGTATACAGAACTAGGGTACAAGGCAGAAGTGTAGGGGCTATGAGAGCACTCACCAGAGACAAAGTGGGGAGCAGAGCAGGCAGATTGAAACAGTACACTGCTGAGGGGAGCAATGGGCGGGTCAGGAGAGGTCTGGGACACCATATGGGTCACCTCCAGAGTTGGGGATCGAACTCACACTGAAGTGTCTGGGGCTAGCCCGTTGCACCACCAGGGGAGACCAAAATAGACCTTTTTAATCTGTGATTTCTTTATAAAAAGCCCTCCTTTCTGGATAATTACAGAGTTCTACAATAGCTTATTAATTGGGTCTGATTCCTGGACGTCGTGTTTCATGAGCCTCCCTTCGGCTGCTCCAGTAGCACTTGGCCCCTCCAACAGAAACAAGAAGCAGGAGGTGGCTGACTGCTACTGTCCTGTGTTGGAAGATGAGCAGGTGTCTGGGTCTGGGAGGTAGGATGTCACACTTCCCACCTTTGCCTGCTCACCGAACCACTTGGGGCCTTTATATTGCCTTCTGAAACATGCAGTAGCACTGAAGGAAACTTACCTAAAGTGCTTACCATGTCTGCTTAGAAGTGAAGCTGTCTGAGCATGGTCAACCAGGGTGACTTTTACTTTGGAAAGTGACTTTTTAAAAAGGAATTTATTAAGGTCATCTATCAATGTGATTGTTGTTAAGACAGCGATTTGGAAAAAGACGTTAGTGGAAAGCAAGACCAGAGGAGGAAGACGTCAAAGCATGGTCTGTGTAGCAGAGCACCTGCTCTCTAGCCTGCTCAACCACAGTTCAGGTGCCCCAGTACCTGAGCCTGGTAACAGTGCCCAGTCACTGGCTTCTGTGCCTGTGGTGAACCCCAGTATTTATCTTTACACATCATGTCCCCATTTTACAGATGAGGAAATTGAAACTTAGAGAGCGATAAAGCGACTCATTAAAGGTCATCAGACAAGAAAGGTCTGAGGTAGGATTTAACCCAAATTTCATTATCTCTAATGAATCGGTGGCCTTAACCATTAAAGGCACACTCTCCCTTCCAGGATCGCAGCCTTTAATATTCCTCTAATCTGGGCTGTAGGCATGATTTTTAATTTTTTTTAAACCTAAGTGTTTCTCCCCTGACTGCCTCTCTCCTTTGCCTGATTTTAGGCTGGTGTTGTGTTGTCTGAGCCAAGAAAAGGGGGGGCATGATCAAGCAGTCTGCCAGCCAGGTTTGAGGGGCTTCAGGGGTGGAGGTATTGGGGGATGCAAAACAACTGCAATCATGAGCTCTAAGTTTTTAACACTGTGATTGTGAAGGATTAAGCAAGGGGATAGAGAAGGGAACCATAAAAAGGTTGGAATTTTGCTCTAGGCATTAAAGGAAGGACAGGACTCACAGGCAAGACAGAATAGGCCCATATCCCTAGAAAAGGATTCTGAAGTGAATGAAAAACTGGAATGAGAGAAGGCAGGTCGTCTTGATCTGTACCAAAAGAAGGGGAGTGGAATGGAGAGGTGGGTGGTTAGCATGGGTAGAGTCAACAGGACCCATTATGAAAGGTCATAAAAACCAGACAATGGACCAGGGGTAATAGGTAGTTTTTGCAAGTTCTAGAGTAGTGGCCTGATGCTACGAGTTTTAGAAACAAGGAAGGAAATCCTATACAAAGGGAGATATCGATATAAATTTTATAGGCTAAATAGAACAACTTCTGAAAGCATTTCCAAAGTTGAATTTTATGCCTTTATAAGCTTTAATGGCTTTAGTCTTAGTAGCAAAGGAAGCAGCCCCATCTTATCCTTATTTGTCCAATACCTGGCATAAAGTTGTCTGCTATATCTTGGAAGGCTTAAGGATCCAGGACTAGTTTGAACCTTACCATGTTTCTTCCCCTTTAAATGGAACCCAGGCCATGGGCTTCCCATTTGGGGGCCATTTTGTTTTGCTTGAAGGGATTTTTTTTTTAATTATAATAGTTTATTTTTATATAATTTTGTGCTTTTTTCCATCTCAGTTGCATAGGGATTACAACTGTGGACTACAATTCACCCTTGTGCCGTCATCATAGTCCTGTGCACTCCCTCCACCATTTTTTTTTTTTTATTCATACAGAACTGGGGTACAGGCCAGAAGCTCAGGGGCAGTGAGAGGCTTCACCAGAGACAGAGTGGGGAGCAGAATAGGCAGATCGACGAAGTACACTGCTGAGGGGAGCAGTGGGCGGGTCAGGAGAGGTCTGCCACGCCATGTGGTCACCTCCAGGGCAG